CAGGGGTCCTTTTGTCCCTCTGTGGGGGGAAACTCCCACTAGGGTTATATCTGGGACTCTCCACCATTTGACCTTAGAACTGAAGAAGCTTCTCGGATGAAGGTGAAACGTCTTCAAGCAACTTAAAGAAGTCCAGACGCTTTTCTTTCCAAGCTCCTTTGCCTTCAGTAAAATAGAAGTTAAGCAGGATCTTACTGATATACCGGAAATAAACTCAAGAAGCAAAGATGTCCGACCATATTCCATTTTCTAATTGGACTTGACATGATCTGAGATGTTTTGGGGTTTGTTTGTTTTTTTGGAAAGGGGGGGCTGGATCTTTGTTGCACATTGTGCTGCTAGCTAAACTGCATGCACATGTGTGTGCTAATAATTGAGGAGCTGATAGAAATGTTGCATTTGAAAATACACATTATCTCCTTTATACTCGCTTATCTCCTGTAGAGCTAGCTAGATACTGAAGTACGGTAACAGTTTAGGCTCTTTCATCTCTTTTTATGCGATATCCCAGGTGATTAACACATATACACTACTGCCTTTGCTGTTTAGGCTCAAATTGGTTTGATGTTTGAAGGCCTGCAGTGACGTGAAAATATAACTCCCATCAAATGTTTTGAAAATGCAATGAATAGAAAGTACAGATATTTGTTTAAAAATGCAGCGAGCAGAAGTAAAAAGTTGTCAGAAGAATACTCGAGTTAAATACAGATACCTGAAAAATGTTCTTAAGTACAGTAACAAAGTATGTGTACTTCCCACCTCGGGCCGTTGCTGAACTCAAGGACAGAATGAAGCTCTTTATCTTTTTGAAATTAGACGTTTATTTTAGCAGCACTGGGTTAGGATACGGGATTGGTTAATGTACAATTCACAAAGTTCACGGCACAGATGGAGGATGTATTCCATGTACAATAGTGGAAAATGTTCCACCCTATGAAATTATGCTATAATATATTTTATAAATATTTTAATGGAAAGCTGAGCCTGACTGCACCCTACAGTGTGCCTCTTTACCCTGAAACCACTGCTCGCTCCAGTGTGGTTGATGTTGCTCTAATTTGGCAGCACTTCAAAAACAGAAGTGAAAGATTCCCGTTGAGTCTCGTGAGACGATACAAATCTGTGAACTCAAATATGCAGCACTGCCTGCTATGGTGACCACTGTGAATAAGGGAGTAGCTGAAATCAGTTACAGACTTATTTTATCTCCCACAGACAGTGCAGTTTTGTGTCCACATTCTTTCTTCAGAATTGAGGATTATCACAGTTTCCCAGATGGGTTGGTTCATGCTGCCAGTTTGTGTCCAACCCAACTGCTCATGTTTCTCGTCACACTCTGCATGTTCCTACATCAGGAAAGTTTGCAGAGTGAATTCACTCTTATTGCTCCTAAAGACCATACTCACTTGCAGAAGCAGGCACAGCAACTGGTGGACACCACATGTACAGCTTTTTCCCCTTGCAGCATAATCATTGTAGAGTGGTCAAATTGGAGGGTACATGTGCGTATGTCTTTACAAAGCCTTGCATTCATCCTCTGATGGCACAAATTTATGTTACCCAGACCCAAAGGCACCCTCGCAAACTTGTAAATGCAGAAAGTATAACAGGTGCTTCAGACCATCCTTAAAGCAAATACAAGCTGATAGCATGCTAACACAGGGAATGCCAAAACCAGGTGCACAAATGAAACACAAGTATGTGTTTAAACTGTTGTTAAAAGCCTATTTGTACTTTACAATCAGCTGTTGAGCAGCAGATTGGATCAGTGCGCTGTGCAGGGCTGCTCCACTGGATTAATGTTGTCACACAAATTCATTAGTGTGCAGCTGATGTACCTGTTAATCCACCCACCTATTCCTAACTTTGTCAACCACTGTCAGCGTCTTCGTGTCAGCTTGTTTGGCACCTCTCAGTCCTTCTATGATCGCTCAGCCTAATCGCCACGATCATCACCATCACAACGTTCCTCCTCCTGCTTGAGATCATAGACTAACACTTCTGTGGTGCTGCTTAACAAAACTCTCCTGTTTCTCTTTATTAACAGCTCCTTTCTCCTGGTGAACAAGCTCCTGCTGAGGCCCTTCAGCCACCATCTGGCTGACTGGCTTGTCATTGGACTTGCTGTAGTGGTCCCACTCTTCACCCAGCACGCTCCCAGCATCACTCAGGTCACCCAAATGCTCCACCGAGTCACACTTTTCCAGGTCGGAGGCGATGGTTTGAAGGCTGATAACCGACATGCAGTCTGAGCCGACCTGCTCTGCCCCCGGTTGCTCCCTCTGGCCCCAGCCGCTCTCTCGGTGCCGCTCTACCCACAGTCTGGTTTTCTCACCATCTGCCCAATCGCTCTCAATAGTGTCGACTCCCACACAGCTACTGTCATGGATTCCAGCGGCAGTTCTGACCTCAGCTTCAGCACCTACAGGGGAGCTCCGACCCCCACAGAGGGCAGGATGCCCCCTGCTGGCTCTGGTCCGCCCCCTCTGTGCATGGATCTGCTCACTGATCTGCTCCAGGTTGCGCAGGGCCACGGAGTAACGCATTTTTACTTTTGCCACTTGCTCCTCTAGCTGTACGACTTTAGCCTTATGCTCCTGCAAAAAAGGTCACAGCAAGTGAGGAAGGCTCACGCTGACACATTTAAACATCTCTACACTCCAATTAACCACACCTCGGTTAAAACAATGAATATTACATAAATGCAGCTTCTTATACCATGAATGCAAGCCTTATCATTAGTTAGTCATTTTATTGTCCAGCATAAAGAAATTCACTCTTCACTTTTGTCAGTGATATTTTACACTAGAGGTGGGGGAAAAATGGATACTGTGTAGCATGGTGATATTTTGTTTGCTAATAATGTATGGATACAGGGACAGCAGAAATCGATA